GACGACGACGACGACGACGACGACGATCGGCCGCACTTTTCGCTCGTCAGCGGAACGTACGTGCATCGACGCAAGTTCCACGGCAACGCCCGCACGGCTGGCTCCCTCGGCGGCGCGACAGATTCAGCAGACAAGGCTGTGCAACTCGCCAGTGCGCAGGGCGGCACTCAGGAGAACTCGGTGGTGATGCGCAATGCGGCGACGGGCGAAGTGACCACGGTGCTCGAGAGCGCCTCGCTGCAGCACGTAGGTAAGCGCGCCTGGCAAGGCCTGGAGCAACGCATTGGCCTCGACGAACCGAGCATGCTCGAAGAAGGACGGCAAGGCATCGCCAAAGGCTACAAGGACGCCGGCGGCCACGGCCATACCATGTGAACCCCCCGACTCGATCAAGACTCACTGTCAATGCTCATATCATCACATGCGGGGGCCGAGGGTGCGATTAGCAGTGTATCTAAAGGACTCGATTAGCGGAGAAGCCGATGGGGGGCCGAGGGGAGTGGGAATGTCTAGATGTTGCCAGCGTCGCTGCCGCCTTCGAGCAGGCCTACGATGAGCCAAGAGGCGCCTGCGGCCACGCCTCCGACGGCGAGGGTGGAGAGGGCGCCGTAGGCGTAGCCTTTCACGCCGCCCTCGCCGCCGGTAACGCGCTGCTTGACCACGCCAAAGATGAGGAGGATGACGCCGGTGATGATGACCGAGAGCAGCAACGCGCGGCTGGCCTGCTCGACGAACATGTAAGGGAGCAGCGGGATGATGCCGCCGAAGAAGTAGCTGAGGCCGATGGTGAGCGCCGAGACGTAGAGGCGCGAGGTGCTGACGGGCTCGAGACCGTCGCCGAGCTTGAGCAGGAAGGGCGTGAGGCCGGCCTGGTCGAGGTCGTCGTCGTCGTCGCCGTCGTCCGAGTGCACGAGCGGCTGCTGCGACTCCTCGTCGCTGGCAACACGCTTTTGAATGGGCAGCGAAGAGGCGGAGGAGGGTGGAGAGGAGGATGAGGAGCCGGGCAGCGGGATGCAACCAAAGATCTTGCGACGCGCGGCAGAGGAAGCATGGAGGCTTTGGGCGCGGGCGATCTGCTGTGCGTGCTTGCGCGCGTGCTCCTTTGCGGTGAGTTCTGCGGCGATCTGTGCGCTGGTGTGGGTGGCGATGCCGTAGCGCTTGAGGATGTCGTGCACCTGGCGCTGCACCTCGGACTGGCACGAGCGCTCGACGCGCTGCTGGGTGGCGTTGAGGTTGAAGGCAAAGTGGCTGAGCTCTGCCTGTGCGGAGAGGAATCCGCCGATGCCCATGGAGATGGCGCCGGAGACGAGCTCTGCGAGGCCTGCAAGCACGACGAGCTTGGTGGAGCCGGTGGAGGAGAGGCCGGCGGTGAGGGCAAAGGGGACGGTAAGGCCGTCGCTGAGGCCGACGATGCAGTCGCGCGCAAAGTCTGGGTCGATGAGCGTGCGCTCGTCTGCGGCGACGACGTCCCTGCAGCACACAAAGCTGGGGTCGTGCGGTTGGTTGGCCGACGAGGGGCAATCGTGCGACGCGCTCAACGTCGAGGCGGACGACGAGGCGACGGCGGGAGCGGTGGCCTGGTAGTTGGCATGCGTGGCATCCGAGGCATCGGCAGTGGTGGTGGTGGTGGTGGTGGACCAGAGGAGCGGCGTGGACTCGGACTTGTTCCTGGAAGCGAGTTTCACGGCGGACGCCTGCGACGGACCGCCGGCCTTGGCGCCGCAGGCACAGTTGGCACAAGCGGCGTTAGTGTTGCTGGAGGAGCAGGCCATGTTGGAAAGGCAAGGCGTGGACAGTGGGGGAAGACAAGACGAAGGCAAGAGCGATGGGCGAGACCAAAGTGGTTCAACCTTATATACATACGAATGCGCACTAGCCGAAGAACGCAAGAAACCCGCCCCGTCTGGCACAGGAAGATAAAAACGACAAGCCGATAACAGATGGCACTCGCAGCCCGCCCATCAGCCAATCAGCGTCGCGCCATTTCGAATCAGCGGATTTCGAATCGGCACATTTCGAATCAGCAAGAAATTCTGGTGAGTGATGTCAGACCGCCAACAACCAACACAATGAGCTCGCGAAAATCCACGCGCCGCGTTCGACCCTTGTTGTCTGTCTCGCACCGGCCCGAGCAGACGCGCGACGCGTAAAGGAGAAGGCGGAGTTGCAGTGCACTGAGCATTTCACTCCACTCTAGCCGACGCCCCGAACTGAGCCTTCTCTCGGCCCCTCCTATCATCATCATCATCATCATCATCATCATC